AAGGGATAAGACTTCTCGGACAGCACCTTTGCTGCGTCGTCGATCTTGTCCGCGAAAGCAGGCGCTGCGCCCAGCATGCTCAGTGCCCCTGCAGCTGCGGGCGCCATGCTGCGAGCTGGGCGAGCAGGCCCCGGCACGAAGGCCGGGAGGCTGCAGAAGCAAACTCCCACGGCCAGGATCGAGATCACGCGCACAGCCTTCGCCATAGCTTGCCCTCTGTGGTCCAACCTGCTCTGTGTATGCCTCTGATCTCGAGCCTGAAAGCCTAGAAGCCAATGCGCTCAGCACCTTGCTCATGTGTACCAGCAGGAGGCAGTGCATACTTCGTCGGGAAAGCGCTAATGCCATTGTGACGGACAGCAGCATGAATGTTATAGTTGTGTGCTACTGTCTTGGGAGGGCCAATATTTCGGATGATTCCAGGCGTGGGATTTGGGCGAAGGGTCTAGACCCAGAAATACTAAAACTTATAAGGATAACATACTAATATAAAAATATATATATATATATATATATACACATACATATATATATATATATGTATGTATGTATATGTATATATGTATGTATGTATATATATATATATGTATATATATATATATATATCATGGTTATAACAACATTAAGCATATAACACATAAATATCTATAGCTGAAGCCCTGCATCTTCGATTCGTGAGATTTATGCATTGCAATTACTCTAGCTACAAGTAGGTGGTCAACCCCAACATCCAAACAACAACTCTAACAAACCCATGGAGTCCAATCCATCTCCCTGCCTTCGGAGATGTGGAGGCCTCGCGCCTTGCAACGCCGCGCCCGGAGGAGACCTGGGCAACTTCCGAAGATCCCCTACACAGTGCTCGGGAGACCCAGCAGCCTTTTCACCGCCAAGTTTAAAGATGTTGCGCACACGTCGCGGCTGACTGCTAGCCACGGGCAAGAGCTCGGTGGACCCAGTGGGCCCTTAAGAAAATATGTAACTTACAAATTTAAATCGGATGGGCGCCGCCGCGCTCACTCCTCTGCACGACTCATCTCCGATCACTTCATCGTGGACTTCACCACATCCTTGAACTCGAGGAAGGCCTTGTAAGCAGCCTGTGCGTCTTCCGGGTTCACGGTGCCGATGAGGTACGCCGGGATTCCCTTGCCCGAGGCCACGGCTGCGGCCACGACGCCTGCCCAGGCATTGTAGACATCCAGCGTTTTGGCTTCTCCGGCCGAGGAGACCATGTGACCGATGGCTGCGTTGATGGCCTGGTAATCAGCTTTGGAGGTCAGGCCGTTGGCATCGATGCTGCCAATCGCCTTCGAGTGAGCCAGGACGCCCGCCTTCAAAGCAGATGGGTCCATAGCCGCGCCCATGTCAATGGTCTTGCTGATGGCCTTTGCCATCTGCAGGGGATCCGCTCCCGGGATGTTCTTCGCGTAGTCCGCGGTCCAGTCGATCTCCTTCAGGAAGGGGTAAGAGGCGTCTGACAGCTTCTCCGCCGCGTCGTCGATCTTGTCCGCGAAAGCAGGCGCTGCGCCCAGCATGCTCAGTGCTCCTGCGGCTGCGGGCGCCATGCTGCGAGCTGGGCGAGCAGGCCCCGGCACGAAGGCCGGGAGGCTGCAGAAGCAAACTCCCACGGCCAGGATCGAAATCACGCGCGCAGCCTTCGCCATTGCTTGCAGTCTGTGGTCCCAGAACCTGCTCTCTGAATGCCTCTAACCTCGAGCCTAAAGCCAATGCGGCCTATTGGCCAGAGCAGCCTCCAAGGCAGCAAATCAGTCGTGGCGTCCTAGGGTTACCACTTTGGGTTTATGTGCACTATAGGGTCTAGACCACGCTGGGTTCAACGCCCTGCAACTTGTTGCATCGAAAGTTTCATTCAAAAAGCTCCTCATCTAGGGTTTTGGCATATCTTACTGGTAGATTACACTACAAATTCAAATACATCAGGAATCAAGGAAACACGAAGGACTAATACTAGTAGTCATTGGCGTGCAATTTTAGGGCTAACGGCCCGGAACCTGCAAGTGCTGCCCCAAACGCTGAACAAAATGGGCAAATGCGAAGTTTCTGCTGCACCTCTGCCCCCACACACCCCTACCCCTGTCCATGACCCTCCCCTCCCGCCCTCACACAAACCACAAAGACAAACTGTCCCCAGGCTGCTGGCAGCAGAGTCTGTGGCAACGGAACAATGGCGCCAAAGCTTGACGACCAACACTATCCAAACAGCGACAACACCCAAAACAGCAACAACCATCAAATCTGAGCCCAAAGCCGTCGACGAGTCTGTGCCCGATCTCCAAAGCCGCGGGCCTTGTCTCCAAAGGCAACTCGGGGATTGTCGTTTGGGGCTTGGGTTTCCGGGTTCTCGTTTGTTGATGTTTGTTGTGGATCTAGGATGGTTTCGGGGTTTAGGGTTCAGAGAGTTCGTGCATGAGTGTTTTGAGTGTTTGGAGGAGATTCCCCGAAGGCCCTGGAGTCCTGGGGCCGTTGGGTTTAGGCCTTTGAGCCCCAATGATCTTCATAATCGGGCTTGGGTTTGAGGCTCCGGGTTCGGAGTGTTGCAAGATGCTACATGCACCACGAGGTGCTGCGACCACTGCCGCAAAAGCCCCTGCTGCATGTCGGAACAATGTAGCGGCAGAAGTCACCTCCAGACTCAGACACCAAAACATGATACTCACGGCAGCTAGGGCAGTTTCCGACTGAACAAGTTGGCGATGTCCGGTAAACAATTGAATCGTTGAAATTCACAGATGAAGTCGCAGCAGCAGCCGTTAAATAGTTTACAAGTTAGCTGCCTGCATACGTTTAGAAAGTGTATGAGATCATGCGATGCCTATCGCGCATGTTCAAGAGGATCAAAAGAAGGCTCAGCGCTGGGACGCCTTGACCACATCCTTGAAGTCCATCAATGCCTGGTAAGCTGCCTTGGCATCCGCCGCATTTACCTTGGACATCATGTAAGGGCCCACATCCTTGCCAAGGTTGAACTTGTTGAAGGCATTGTACACGTCCATGGTCTGGGACGCAGGAACAGAAGCGATCATATGCCCGATGGCCGCATTAATGGCAGTATAATCGGCAAGAGTCGCGACACCCTTGGAGTCCATGTTGGCAATGGCTTGGCTGTGAGCCAGAGCACCCGATTTCAGAGCTGCGGAGTCCATGGACGCACCCATCTTCAACATAGTGTTGATGGCCTTGAGCACCTCCAGAGGAGGCTGGGTGGGGAGCTTGCCATAGACGTCGGAGGTCCAGTCGATTTCTTTCAAGAAGGGATAAGACTTCTCGGACAGCACCTTTGCTGCGTCGTCGATCTTGTCCGCGAAAGCAGGCGCTGCGCCCAGCATGCTCAGTGCCCCTGCAGCTGCGGGCGCCATGCTGCGAGCTGGGCGAGCAGGCCCCGGCACGAAGGCCGGGAGGCTGCAGAAGCAAACTCCCATGGCCAGGATCGAGATCACGCGCGCAATCTTCGCCATAGCTTGCCGTCTGTGGTCCCTCTTCGTGCTCTCTGAATGCCTCTGATCTCGAGCCTAAAAGCCTACAAGCCAATGTGGCCCATGGACCATGCAAGGCTGAATGCAAGCACCCTTCTCCCCTTACTCATTGACCATCTGTCCAGACTGACAAGGGCCCGGGCACAAGGAACTGAAGACAGTCGCCGGGTTCGGGCCGCTTGCAGCCCACACCAACCTGGCGAGGGTGTCACAGAAAGCAAAGCTGTAGTGCCAGTATCAAGTTCCGCTGACCGAAACAAGGCCCAACCCTGTACCCCACTCCACGCAACAGTACTTTGGGGGTCACCGTCCAATGCGTATGCGATGAACTTCGCGATAGCTCTGCAGAAATACTTCGCAGGCACCCGAAACTCAACACCTCCAAGCCCCTCCAAAGCCGCTAAATGATCTGGAAAGCCTCTCAAAAGCCCCAACATCCACACAACAAGTGTAACAAACCCATGGAGTCCAATCCATCTCCCTGCCTCGGAGATGTGGAGGCCTCGCGCCTGGGGACGCCGCGCCCGGAGGAGACCTGGGTGACTTCCGAAGATCCCCTGCGCACTGCTCGGGAGTCCCTGCAGCCTTTTCACCGCCAAGTTTAAAGATGTTGCGCACACGTCGCGGCTGACTGCTAGCCACGGGCAAGAGCTCGGTGGACCCAGTGGGCCCTTAAGAAAATATGTAACTTACAAGTTTAAATCGGATGGGCGCCGCCGCGCTCACTCCTCTGCACAACTCATCTCCGATCACTTCATCGTGGACTTCACCACATCCTTGAACTCGAGGAAGGCCTTGTAAGCAGCCTGTGCGTCTTCCGGGTTCACGGTGCCGATGAGGTACGCCGGGATTCCCTTGCCCGAGGCCACGGCTGCGGCCACGACGCCTGCCCAGGCATTGTAGACATCCAGCGTTTTGGCTTCTCCGGCCGAGGAGACCATGTGACCGATGGCTGCGTTGATGGCCTGGTCGATGAAGGTTTAACGTCTTCAAAGCACCTGGCACCGAGGCACCAACGGCACTTCTGGACGAAGAGGGCCCGAAGGCCTCACCAAAACAGAAAGCTTGCCTGAGGGCCAGCTGCACCAGGTTGACAGGTAGTTGCGGTCTGTCAAATACCCCTCATGAGCCAAAAGCGCTCCGACTCGATGAAGGTTTAACGTCTTCAATGCACCTGGCACCGAGGCACCAACGACACTTCTGGACGAAGAGGGCCCGAAGGCCTCACCAAAACAGAAAGCTTGCCAGAGGGCCAACTGTACCAGGTTGACAGGTAGTTGCGGTCTGTCAAATACCCCTCATGAGCCAAAAGCGCTCCGACTCGATGAAGGTTTAACGTCTTCAAAGCACCTGGCACCGAGGCACCAACGGCACTTCTGGACGAAGAGGGCCCGAAGGCCTCACCAAAAACAGAAAGCTTGCCTGAGGGCCAGCTGTACCAGGTTGACAGGTAGTTGCGGTCTGTCAAATACCCCTCATGAGCCAAAAGCGCTCCGACTCACGTCACCTCCAGCTGGCGACGCCCAGGAGGCCGAAACCCAAACTGACCTCGAACAGCAGCTCGGACAAGACCAAGATGCCGAAGACGCTCACGAACATCTGCGTGCCGCTCACCACGAAGCGGCCAGCCCAACCTCCAGGCCCACGACGATGTCGGAGTTGCCGGGCGGGAGGAAGCAAAATATGAGCAGCACCACGCAGCATGCCACCAGTTGGGAACCCCTGTACGACCACACAGCGTGCACCGAAGGAGAAAAGATCCAGCACCTTGAGGAGGCAGTTTATGCATCCGTGCATACTGTTCTTCACTCACACATCCTCCGAGCATCACGTGGCGCTCCTCGTTGGAAGCGCCGTTGTAGAGCTTGATGGCCGCCTTGAGTACGGTCTCGCTGTAGCCCTCATCGTCGGGGATGAGGTCGTCGAGTTCATGCCGTTGCCCTCGCAAGAAAGAAGCATAGCGCTGGCGACGCCAGGCCTCTCGCATCAAGTGTCGCGCCTTATTTCGGGCAGGCAAGTCACCTGCCGACAGGTCAAAGGCCCCTGCCACAGCATGTTGCCAAGCGTGAGCTCCGGTCCTGGTAAACTGGAGTTCCTGAAGAAAAGAACCAACGGACTGTCCCCAGCGTCCTATGACGAGGCGACGGCCCTGTTCACGCCAGAAGGCGTCAGCCGCAAAGAAAGCTGAGGCCGACGCCAGTCTAAGTGCAAAACCAACATCCATCCAATGACCAGCAAGAAGCAACCACAAATCCCTGGACCCTTGCTGTACAACATCCAAGGCACGTTTCACGTTAGTTGTGAGCTTTTGCTGGTCCTGTAAGTCGGCGGCGGAGCAAGGACTCCACCAAAAACTCCACAGCAGCTGTGGTATGATTACAGTCCTATACAAGCGATGCTTAACGCAAGATACTACAGGAAGACACCCGAGCCGTCGAAGCAGAGCCTGAAACTTGTCGAGCCGTGGGCCCGCCACCTCAAGTAGGCCGTCCTCCCGAAAGGGAGTGCCGAGAACAGTGGCCTCAGCCGAAGGCTGTATGCCTTTTGCACGCAGCAACTGTCGTTGCCTGGCACTCCGCGTAACAACCTTCAACTTGTTTTGGTTCTCCTGAAGGCCGAGAGCCTTAGCAGCAGCAGCCCAAAACCCGATGACACGCTCAGTGTCTTCAGCTGACCTCGTCACCGCGGTCCTGTCATCGACAAAGATCGACTGGTTAAGAGCCTCGCCCATCATCTGTTGGAGCCGTGTCGCAGGCGCTAAGAGCAGAGCCGTGAGGGCCAGCGGCGAAGCAGGGCATCCCTGCGGCAACGACGACGACACCTGCTGTGGCTCAGGATGAACGAAGCTACCGTACTGGATCCATCGTCGCTGCTCTAACCAGGTCCAGGCCACAACTTTCAAAAGGTCTTCTGGGCAACCATGTCTGCGCAAGTTGTCCAACGCGAGAGAAGGGGCAACGTTGTCGAAACACTTCTCGAAATCAAACGAAATCAAGATGGCCTCCTCGTCCCACGAGGCTTCGATGTGTCTGAGTGCCTGCCAAGCATTGCGGCCTGCGATGCCTCCGTGAAAGTAGGGAGGGCACACCTGAGGCAGCCAGTCTCTCACACAAGCTCGAGCGGTCCATGTAGCAGCGACGACTCGGTACGTGGTGTTGAACACTGTGATGGGACGTAAGCGAGCAACCTCCGCAGCAGCACCGGTAACCTCGTCTTTGGGGATGAGGACCATGCGTGATTCACGCCACGCCACAGGAAATTTGTTCTGCGCTGTCCAAAGCTGGAGCAACTGAGCCAGCATGGACCACCACTGCACCGGCATATCTGCAAGGTTCTCAGCAGAAATGCCGTCAGGTCCGGCAGAGCCCTTGGAGTGGCTCCTCGCTCGCTTCATCAACTCATGCGCCTGCAGGGGCCCTTGGTCGCCGGGCCAAGCAGCTTGGGGAGGCGCATGCTCAGTCCACATCCGGTCCAGCTGTTCATGGAGATCTTCAGGGAGCGGTCGGCGCCACACTTCCTTCCAGAAGGCCACAATCAACTCGAGCGAACCAGCAGTCGAGGATGCCGTGGTGGTGACTCCGCGCACAGTGTACTGCAAAGCCGGTGCGAGGAGCCCAGCCTTGTTCTTGAGCCACCGCGCGGCCTCGCGCCCGCCTTGTGCCATCCTTGCCCTCCAGGAAGTGAGGTTGGCATCCCGACGCTGCTGACGGACCTTCGTGATGATCGCCTCACATTCGGGGATTGCTTCCTCAATGCTGCTGGCACGCAGGTCCGAGGGCCAAGTGGCTCGGATCTTCGCCATAACAGCAGCCGAGTCAGCAACCGGATGCTGTTGGAGCCGCTTGGCTTCATGAAGTCTGCCCAAGAAGCAAGCAAGTTTGCGAATGCGAGCTCCCTCATTCGAGCTTGAACCCTTGCAAGTACGGTCGCTAGGAGTCTCACAAAGCGTAGCAACGGAACCTTTAGGGCGGTAACCTCCACGACTGAAAGATCTACTGGCAGGGCCATCCAGCCTAGAGCTCGCAGCTTGGAGCGAAAGCTCCAGCTGTGCAGCAAGCTGCGCCCACTGGACGTCAACATCATCGTCCCAGTGCACCTCAAGATCTTTAAAGTGGGCTGCCACGGCATCCCTCCAGACCTCGAGAGGGACATGTTCAGGACGCGACAGGTCTCTAGTGCGGCTCAAAGAAAACTGTCCAACACGGTTAAAGCTGAAGCAGCCCTCGATCCACAAGCACTTATGATCGCTGATACGATGTTCCAGGAACCTGGCCGTGAAAGCGGCGTGAGGGTCGTTGGTCATGGCCCAATCGATGGCACGCGAGCCTTTCCATCGGGAGGCCAGGTAGCGGTCCTGTTGCTTAGGGCCAATGATCATGTATCCGAGTTCCTCGAGTGGCGACTCGCAGGGCTCGTCGTTCCAGTCACCCACGGCCACCAAGGAGTGTCCCGCAGCAACCGCATGGCTTGCCCACAGAGCAACCTCGTTATCAAAAGCGGCACGGAGGCCACCAGGTCGGCGCCACGCAGCCATGTATCGAAAAGAGCCAAAGTCTAACTGCAGCAATTCGCCTTCGTCATTGCACCACGTGGCCATCTGTTTGCAGCAGACGCCGTCTTTGACGCCCACACACAGTCCTCCTTTCCAGTTGGCAGGGCCTTGTCGGCGGGCCCCTTGGGTGGAGGGCACACACCACACTCTGTATCCCATCTTGTTAGCACGTCTGGTGAGAGCCGCTTGCTCAGACGGACTTGCGCGAACCTCGGCCAGGGACCACACCAAAGGTTTCACCTCAGAGCTCTGGAGTAGGTCAAGGGCCTCAAAGGCATTGGTGCATCCACCTGCGTTCAAGTGAAAGCAACTCCAAGGAGAACGTACGAGGGAGGTGGACGGTCCCGGATTGGGCTCGATCCCTTCCTCCGTGACGTCTCGCAACCATTGCTTGAGGGGAGCCGTCGTGCTGTAGCCCTTGGCCTTGGTCATCAGCACACTGTGCTCCTTGTCAGAGAGGCCCCAGATACGTTTGAGCAACCGTCGGCCCTGAGTTCCAATGCTAGCATAGAGTCTCTGCTTGCCCGTCGTGCGAAGCACCCTCGCACGAACACCAACCCCTGGGCACGGAGTACTGAGCCGCGCCAGCGACGAGCGAGTTCTGGCCACATGCAAACATTTGCTACACGTGAAGATGATCCGAGCTCGATCGTTTTCACATCGTAGCACATGCCGAATGCGGTGACCAAGCTTGTGCTTCTGCAGCGAGATTTCGCGGGCCTTCCGATGATCTTGCAACTTCTTGGACAAAATCATACCCCAACATCTGCTCTGAGCACCACGATTCGCGTGGGACTTGTTCAGCTCCTGTGCCCAGGCCTGAAGGTTGGAGCCAGCCGTGGACTCCGGCGGTGCCTTTTTGCACTGTTGAAAATGCTTCTTGATGGATGCTTCGCGCGACCGCTTCTCCATGGCTGGGAGAACTTGTCGGCACCAGAAGCATGTCCATGCTGCCTTGCCCTTGAGTTTGCGCCGGTGCACGGCCGCAACGGTGGCCACCTCCCGAATTCGTGGAAAGTCAGAGGAGGGACGGCCAGGATGTCTACGAGCAATGTGAGCAGTGCGCGCTTGCGACAAACCACGGCCTAGGTCCTGGCAACCCGAAGTGGGCCTGATATGCTCCTTACACTCCTCGCAATACCATGTCGGGGTTTCGACGCTGCCAGAAGAAGCGTGAGGCAAGGTTTTGAGGGAGGCTTCGTCAGAGGCCTGGTTACGCGAGGTCATCCTCAAAGAAGCAGTCCTTAGGGGAGTGACGTCGGGGAGACTAAGCTTGGAGCCCGCGCTCGCTCCATTTGCACCTTCAAAAGCAGAGCTGAGACTGCCTCCGGCGAAAGTGTGTAGCGAAGGAGTGGGCGCGTCAGAACAACTGCACTTCTGAAACTGGGAGCATAGCCGCTTACTAGAGGCTCGACTTCTGGCCGGCTCCTCAGCGTACGAGTGAAGTGAGGGCGTGGCGTCCGATCTTGCTTGATTCCGCTGATGGGCCTCGGAGTTCCATGAGTGGAGCGAAGGCACATCAGAGGCGGTGTCCTTTCTACTGAGAGAAGCAGCCCTCGACTTTGGCCCACTTCCCTGCAAGACCTTGGGATCTGGAATGTCCGTTTGTCGCAACCAGCTATCCGGGACTTTCCCTTTGGTGGGGGGCTGCAGGAAAGTATAGTGGTCATCTTGAAGAATGAGAACGACTGGCTTGGCTCCAGCAGCCATTCTGGGAAGGCCGCCCTTCCAGTCCGGCGCCATGGTGCATCTTTTCCAAGCGGTCTCATTACGAGCTCTGAACCAAATAACAATCGGAATTCCTCGCTTTTCACAAGCAGCAAAGAGCTGGATACCGCATATCCAGAACGTAGGGTCCGCAGCTTGAGCAAGGAAACGATTCAGTCTACTGTCCTGGGTAGGGGCTTCCTCCTCTGGGGCAGTGTCAGCGTCTTCAGCAATCCAAGGGGCATACTCTTCGGCACGCTTCCTCATGTGATTGATGCAGGAGGCTCGCAGGACCGCTCCTCTCCTCTTAGCGGTCTCAGTATCAATCTCTTCGCCTTCGTTGTGAGCTAAGGCTCCGACAAGAGATCGGTATCCGCAATCGCCGTTCCCTCCAAAGTCTACCTTTTTCCATCCTGCCTTAAATGCCATGCTGATTTCATCGGCTGGAGCACGAGGGTGGCGATCATGTCCTGACGCATCAGTCTCCTGGGGCGACTGGTTCCTGGGTTCACTACGCGACCTGCTTCGCTTAGGAAGCTCTTTCCCATCCACGTTTTCCTCGTTTTGGGAAGTGGGGTCAAGCTGAGTAGCTGGAACCTCCGAGCGACCGCGATCAACAGTCTTGGAGTCAGTCCTAGCTTTAGCTTTAGGAGTAGGCTTATCAGGGGCCTTCGCGCCGGTAGACTCAGGCTCAGCAGTTCTGAACTTCCGCTTTGGGCCTGGCACAGCAATCTTTTCGAAAAGCTGGGGGGTCCGGGGAGGGGCTTTGACGACTTGTACGAGCGCATCGGAGCAGGCCTCGTCCTCGTACCACCAAGGGCCGTCTGCATTCTCCGAGGGTGGCCGTGCTTTGAGAATCCACGTGTTTCTTCGTTTACTCAAAATCTCAACGTCTTTCCAATCTTGCGACATCAGAAATTTCTGAACGGATTCAGGGTCCCAAGAGCGAGGCACACCAGTAACTTGGAAAACGCCCGGTTTTTGGGGTGGGCTGTCCGAAGGGAGCTTAACCATGCCTAAGTCCTTCCCGCCTCCAGCTCGGAACTTCACTCCCTGGTGTCTCTCTTGAGCCTTGGTGCGGACGCGGCGAAGGTAAGACTCGTGATCTTCATCTTTCAGACGATCCTGCCACAAGATCGTGTCACTTCTGGAATTCGTCCCAGTGATCATGAAAAAGACTCCGTGATGCCCACTGTAGGATTCGAGAGTGCGGGCATGGGCAGGAAGCATTCTGACATACCCCACTAAAACAGAAGAGTCGTTGCCGGAGTTCCAAGACCAGTTCCCTCCTGTGAACTGCGAGGCTGGAACTGCCCCCCAGGAGGCAACTTCTTTAACCAGCTTCGCCGGAGAATCGGACTTGCCTTCATCAAAGAAGCGACTTCGGTAGGCCTCCGGCGCAGAGATGCGCACTGTGACCTTCTTCTCTCCCTCAAACTTTGCAAAGTCAGTTTTGACAGCTGGCTTAGGCCATGTGCAAGTGCCTTTCGGGCCCAGGGCCCACAGCACCACATGCTCCAAGGACATAGCCCCCTTCGCTCTGCGAACTGTGACCTTGGCAACAGTGCCCTCAAAGACCTCAGTGCTGGTCTGTGGCGCGACGACAGTGAGGGAGCGTTCACAACACAGCGACTTCCAAAGGTCTCTGAGCTCGCAAATCTGTTCAGGGGAATGCAAAATTAACACATTTCCTTTGAAATCAGTGCCTTCACTCAAAGCTTTCACAACAGTAGCTTTCGTGACCGGCTCTGTACCGCGAGTCCACTCCGAGGACACAACGCCGTGAAAAGCAGCGGTGGGTTTGAAGGTATCTTTGCAGACTTTCCTAGAAGCTTGCGGCCACCATTCCCACTTTTCAGCGCTGGTCTGGTTCGCACTCCGCCAGCCTGCGTTGGTGACGGGTTTGGAGCGCGCGTTTCTCCCACTCCTCCAATAGCCATCCCAAGCCTCAGAGTCCTCCCACATCTCTTCACCCGCCCGGTACCACCAGCCCGAGGCAGGATCACTGACCCAGCCATCACCCTGCCAAGCATTGCCCCACGTAGCATGCGGGGAGTTCCCCCAGGTGGTGGGGCCATGTTCGGGCCAAGATTCCGTAACAAGCATATCCAAATCTTGATCTTCGTCATGGTGCAATCTCCTACGCTTAGCTTTTTCCGTTTGTTGCACCACACTAGCTTGAGGAGCGTATCTCCCCATAGCCTCGCACACAGCTTTCACTATGGAGTTGAAGGCAGCAGGGCTGATTCCAGTCTTGTATTTCTGGTATCTGACACGTCTAGTGCGATTGGCCCCACCCGGTCCAGGGTGGCTAGCCTCTCCAACTCTGGTTGCAACATATGGGCTCCACTTTCGTACGAGGCGCTGCACTCGCAGTCTGAGGGCGCGGCTCCTGCACCTCAGGCGGGCACGCTTAAGCCTGCGAGTTCCCGCAAACCGACACCTGAAGATACGTTTCCGCGGCATCCTGGATTGAGTTTTCCTAGGCAGCATTCGTTTGCGTACCCTCCGCTTGCATTTGTCATTCTGGGTCCTGTTCAAGTCTGAGGCCCTGACGAAACGGAACCAGAGGTGGCTCACGCAGGGCCAACAAAGCAGAAGTAGCAAGAAGATTGTCCAAGCTTCATGAAGATTGGCTTCAGTAATAACATCAACAGAAATGTAGATGCATTGTCGCATGCTGTGTAGCACACTGTGATCTCCGCTCACCTGCCAGGCACCGCACCTTAGCGAAGAGGCATAGCAAAGTCCCAAAAAGGCCAAGCTTGATGTGACCCTTGTGGAAAAGCAGCGGCAGGCCACTGGCCAAAGAAGGTTTGCAACAGACCAGCACAGAAGTCCTAGCAAGAAGACCGTCCAAAGCGCAGGGAGGTGCGCTTCAGCATTCCATGAGAGGTTGAAGTACATGAGCAATCTGTCAACAACAAGGTTGGTCCTACAAGTATGCCACAAGCCTGAAACAAGCCAAGAGGCAAGACTGACACAGAGGTAGACCGAACCAGTGGTGACAAGGCTGTGACAAAGCGGACGTAACACTAGCCAAACAAGGCCAGTGAGCGACCAGCACAGAAAAGCAAGCAGGAAGAGCGTCCAAAGCGCAGGAAGCTGCGTTTCCATTGACAGTGACAGAAACAAGTTAAGCCCAAAGCTGAAAACACGATTCTGCCACAAACACGTGGTAAGCCAGGAGGCACATCTGATACCTAGGCAAAAGATACCTAGCATGGCAAAGCTGCGAAAGCAAGCACGCATCACAAGCCAGACATGACTCATTATCGGCCAGCTCAGGAGTCCGAACAAAAGGGCCGTCCAAAGTACGGGAAGGTCATTCTCAAGATCCAAGTTGCATCTGAGGTGCGTACGCGCCCATTTCAAAGGCATGCTGAGGTCTAGGCTCCCAAGCATTTCCCATGCGACGGCTGGGCGGGTGAAAGTTAAGCCTACACCCGAAAAACCCAAGTCAAAAAGAAAGCGTTTCTGAACAAAGACCAAGCGGCTGAAACCAAGTAGTCGCGGGTCGTCGTCATCACTATCGCCCGGCAAGACGTAACCATCCGGCCAGGTTGGAACTGCTCCGCACGCCATGGCTGACGAATTGCCATAGCACAAGGAGGGAACTAAGGGGCAGCCCGAAGGGCAGTGGTCATAGAGACTCTTTGGTCCCTCTAGGCATACAGCCTGCCCAGCAGAAGCGCGCAAGCAAAGCATCAGGCAAAGAAACCAAAACCAGGTCCCCGAAACCACACCACCGAAAAGAACCCGAACAAACCCACCTACGGCGGTGGCCATCCAGGCTCTTTGTGACTTGCCATAGGTATGCCCACGGCGATGACTCGATTTTTCTTTTTCTTTTCTTTTGATAAGGGCTTCCGAAGCCTCTTCATTCTTTCTTAATTCGGCCCACACAGCCTTTTTCTTGCACTCTTTTCTTTTTAATTTCTTAATCCTCACAAAGGGGAAACAACACGTGTGGATAAGCCCAGACACGTCTGACTGTGCACATTTCGCAACTCCAAGGCGAAGGAGTCCCGCGACCACCGAGGCAAATGCCAGGAGGTAGTGCACATGGTCGCCGTTGATGGCCTGGTAATCAGCTTTGGAGGTCAGGCCGTTGGCATCGATGCTGCCAATCGCCTTGGAGTGAGCCAGGACGCCTGCCTTCAAAGCAGATGGGTCCATAGCCGCGCCCATGTCAATGGTCTTGCTGATGGCCTTTGCCATCTGCAGGGGATCCGCTCCCGGGATGTTCTTCGCGTAGTCCGCGGTCCAGTCGATCTCCTTCAGGAAGGGGTAGGAGGCGTCTGACAGCTTCTTGGCCGCGTCGTCGATCTTGTCCGCGAAAGCAGGTGCTGCGCCCAGCATGCTCAGTGCTCCTGCAGCTGCGGGCGACATGCTGCGAGCTGGGCGAGCAGGCCCCGGCACGAAGGCAGGGAGGCTGCAGAAGCAAACTCCCACGGCCAGGATGGAAATCACGCGCGCAGCCTTCGCCATAGCTTGCCGTCTGTGGTCCCTCAAATTGCCTGCTTTCTGAATGCCTCTGATCTCGAGCCCAAAAGCCTAAAAGCCAACCCCTCGCCCCATGGGCCTCGCCCCATGGGCATCAGCAGCAAGGCTGAATGCAGACGCCGTTCTCCCATTCCTCATCTCTCAGCCAAAAGGGCCCGGACGAAAGGAACTGAAGACAGTCGCCCGGGCCGGGCCGCCAACAGCCCACACCAACCTGGCGATGGTGGCACAGCTAGCAAAACTGTAGCACCAGTATCAAGTCCCCCAGCTCACGTTAAGCGGGTGGTGCTTACCGAAACAAGGCCAATCCCTGTACCCCCACGCAACAAGCGTTTTGGGGATCACTGTGCCATGGGTATGCGATGCTGATGCCGGTACGCGACTGACATAGGCAGGCGAACTTCACGATAGCTCTGCAGCTACCAGTACTGTATCATCTGTGGCTCCTCTTTCGGAGCAGAATGTTGAAACCTTGTTGCTGAGGAAAACCCATCGAGAAACCTCCGCAGCCACCCGAAACTCAAGACCCCCGAGCGCCTGAAAAGCCAAAGATCTCAAAAGCCTCTCAACAGCCCCAACATTCGCAAAAAAAGCTAAGAAACCGCTAAGGAGCCCAATCCATCTCCCTGCCTTCAGAGAATCTGGCCAGTGGACGCCGCGCCCTGAGGAGACCTGCGTCTGGACTGTTTATTTTTTTTTCGGAGGGGGGTTCTGCTGGGTCTGTCTGGGTCCCTGGGGCTTCCGGCATGGTTTTTTGCTTTCAGGGACACACCGCTTCCGCTGGGCGGCCGCTGTTACGCGCTGAACGAGAGACTCGAGCCTTTCTGCCGGCAAGTTTAAAGATGTCGCGCACGTGTCGCGGCTGACTGCCAGCCACGGGCAAGAGCTCGGTGAGCCCAGTGGGCCCGAAAATATGCAACAAAATCAAATCAAGTCTTTGAATCGGATGGGCGCCGCCGCGCTCATTCCTCCACGACTCGATGTTCAAGAGGATCAAAAGAAGGCTCAGCGCTGGGACGCCTTGACCACATCCTTGAAGTCCATCAATGCCTGGTAAGCTGCCTTGGCATCCGCCGCATCTACCTTGGACATCATGTAAGGGCCCACATCCTTGCCAAGGTTGAACTTGTTGAAGGCATTGTACACGTCCATGGTCTGGGATGCTGGCACCGAAGCGATCATATGCCCGATGGCCGCATTAATGGCAGTATCGATGAAGGTTTAACGTCTTCAAAGCACCTGGCACCGAGGCACCAACGGCACTTCTGGACGAAGAGGGCCCGAAGGCCTCACCAAAACAGAAAGCTTGCCTGAGGGCCAGCTGCACCAGGTTGACAGGTAGTTGCGGTCTGTCAAATACCCCTCATGAGCCAAAAGCGCTCCGACTCGATGAAGGTTTAACGTCTTCAATGCACCTGGCACCGAGGCACCAACGACACTTCTGGACGAAGAGGGCCCGAAGGCCTCACCAAAACAGAAAGCTTGCCAGAGGGCCAGCTGTACCAGGTTGACAGGTAGTTGCGGTCTGTCAAATACCCCTCATGAGCCAAAAGCGCTCCGACTCGATGAAGGTTTAACGTCTTCAAAGCACCTGGCACCGAGGCACCAACGGCACTTCTGGACGAAGAGGGCCCGAAGGCCTCACCAAAAACAGAAAGCTTGCCTGAGGGCCAGCTGTACCAGGTTGACAGGTAGTTGCGGTCTGTCAAATACCCCTCATGAGCCAAAAGCGCTCCGACTCACGTCACCTCCAGCTGGCGACGCCCAGGAGGCCGAAACCCAAACTGACCTCGAACAGCAGCTCGGACAAGACCAAGATGCCGAAGACGCTCACGAACATCTGCGTGCCGCTCACCACGAAGCGGCCAGCCCAACCTCCAGGCCCACGACGATGTCGGAGTTGCCGGGCGGGAGGAAGCAAAATATGAGCAGCACCACGCAGCATGCCACCAGTTGGGAACCCCTGTACGACCACACAGCGTGCACCGAAGGAGAAAAGATCCAGCACCTTGAGGAGGCAGTTTATGCATCCGTGCATACTGTTCTTCACTCACACATCCTCCGAGCATCACGTGGCGCTCCTCGTTGGAAGCGCCGTTGTAGAGCTTGATGGCCGCCTTGAGTACGGTCTCGCTGTAGCCCTCATCGTCGGGGATGAGGTCGTCGAGTTCATGCCGTTGCCCTCGCAAGAAAGAAGCATAGCGCTGGCGACGCCAGGCCTCTCGCATCAAGTGTCGCGCCTTATTTCGGGCAGGCAAGTCACCTGCCGACAGGTCAAAGGCCCCTGCCACAGCATGTTGCCAAGCGTGAGCTCCGGTCCTGGTAAACTGGAGTTCCTGAAGAAAAGAACCAACGGACTGTCCCCAGCGTCCTATGACGAGGCGACGGCCCTGTTCACGCCAGAAGGCGTCAGCCGCAAAGAAAGCTGAGGCCGACGCCAGTCTAAGTGCAAAACCAACATCCATCCAATGACCAGCAAGAAGCAACCACAAATCCCTGGACCCTTGCTGTACAACATCCAAGGCACGTTTCACGTTAGTTGTGAGCTTTTGCTGGTCCTGTAAGTCGGCGGCGGAGCAAGGACTCCACCAAAAACTCCACAGCAGCTGTGGTATGATTACAGTCCTATACAAGCGATGCTTAACGCAAGATACTACAGGAAGACACCCGAGCCGTCGAAGCAGAGCCTGAAACTTGTCGAGCCGTGGGCCCGCCACCTCAAGTAGGCCGTCCTCCCGAAAGGGAGTGCCGAGAACAGTGGCCTCAGCCGAAGGCTGTATGCCTTTTGCACGCAGCAACTGTCGTTGCCTGGCACTCCGCGTAACAACCTTCAACTTGTTTTGGTTCTCCTGAAGGCCGAGAGCCTTAGCAGCAGCAGCCCAAACCCCGATGACACGCTCAGTGTCTTCAGCTGACCTCGTCACCGCGGTCCTGTCATCGACAAAGATCGACTGGTTAAGAGCCTCGCCCATCATCTGTTGGAGCCGTGTCGCAGGCGCTAAGAGCAGAGCCGTGAGGGCCAGCGGCGAAGCAGGGCATCCCTGCGGCAACGACGACGACACCTGCTGTGGCTCAGGATGAACGAAGCTACCGTACTGGATCCATCGTCGCTGCTCTAACCAGGTCCAGGCCACAACTTTCAAAAAGTCTTCTGGGCAACCATGTCTGCGCAAGTTGTCCAACGCGAGAGAAGGGGCAACGTTGTCGAAACACTTCTCGAAATCAAACGAAATCAAGATGGCCTCCTCGTCCCACGAGGCTTCGATGTGTCTGAGTGCCTGCCAAGCATTGCGGCCTGCGATGCCTCCGTGAAAGTAGGGAGGGCACACCTGAGGCAGCCAGTCTCTCACACAAGCTCGAGCGGTCCATGTAGCAGCGACGACTCGGTACGTGGTGTTGAACACTGTGATGGGACGTAAGCGAGCAACCTCCGCAGCAGCACCGGTAACCTCGTCTTTGGGGATGAGGACCATGCGTGATTCACGCCACGCCACAGGAAATTTGTTCTGCGCTGTCCAAAGCTGGAGCAACTGAGCCAGCATGGACCACCACTGCACCGGCATATCTGCAAGGTTCTCAGCAGAAATGCCGTCAGGTCCGGCAGAGCCCTTGGAGTGGCTCCTCGCTCGCTTCATCAACTCATGCGCCTGCAGGGGCCCTTGGTCGCCGGGCCAAGCAGCTTGGGGAGGCGCATGCTCAGTCCACATCCGGTCCAGCTGTTCATGGAGATCTTCAGGGAGCGGTCGGCGCCACACTTCCTTCCAGAAGGCCACAATCAACTCGAGCGAACCAGCAGTCGAGGATGCCGTGGTGGTGACTCCGCGCACAGTGTACTGCAAAGCCGGTGCGAGGAGCCCAGCCTTGTTCTTGAGCCACCGCGCGGCCTCGCGCCCGCCTTGTGCCATCCTTGCCCTCCAGGAAGTGAGGTTGGCATCCCGACGCTGCTGACGGACCTTCGTGATGATCGCCTCACATTCGGGGATTGCTTCCTCAATGCTGCTGGCACGCAGGTCCGAGGGCCAAGTGGCTCGGATCTTCGCCATAACAGCAGCCGAGTCAGCAACCGGATGCTGTTGGAGCCGCTTGGCTTCATGAAGTCTGCCCAAGAAGCAAGCAAGTTTGCGAATGCGAGCTCCCTCATTCGAGCTTGAACCCTTGCAAGTACGGTCGCTAGGAGTCTCACAAAGCGTAGCAACGGA